GCTGCGGAGCGTTGGTGCTGGAGGTGCCGGTTGATTCCCGGCGGGACGGCGGCTCCCCGGCGGCACGTTTCTCAGCGTCTCAGTAATTCGCGTCTGCGCGAGCCACGGGAGCAAAGAACACTTCTGAAGATAGCTTTGCGTTTGGCTAAAAGCATCTTCAAAACATAACCACCCCAGTGTTTGCACAAGAGGACGGGATGGGGTCCTCGATAAATTTGGTTGAGGGTCTGTATGTCTTGTGTTGCCCGTGATAGGGATCCTGTGTGGTTTACAGAAACAGCCGGGGGGTAATGAGTGCGAGGTACCTCTTGGACTTGCCTGCTCATCCTGCCAGTGCAGGTGCTGACTAAGCATGTTTGCAGCCACGGAGAACGCGTGTCTGTCAACCTCTTCACTGCTTAGAGTGCGGAGAACTGCAGGTGGATACACTTCTAGGCAAGCAACACAGCATCACTCTGCATCTGGGGTCATTTTAAAAGGATACGACACAAACACAGGCAGGCTAGTGTCCCTGAACACGACAACTCCTAGACTGAAGGAAGCTCTAACAACATTTGTGTGCACGGAGGGCCCATGTTGGCAACAAGAGTCCAAGCCAAGATTCCAGGTGGTCCCTTAACCGTTCAGGACAAGGGATGAGGACAAGATGGACACCTGGCTGTGGCTTTGGAATTTGCAACACTGAATAGAATCAGGTATTGTCACTGATCTACCAGGTATGTATTTTATAAATGATCTCTTTGTTCAGGACTTTTTGTTATCACAGGAGTTTTTACCCACAGTTGTTTACCCAGTTCTGTTAGAAAGTTGATTGGCCCAACAAATAACTTCTTTTACTCATATTCAGCAACATTCATTCACAAATACTTTAGAGGACAAACACTTTTAAGACAGGCAACCATCAAACTTCAATTCCACAAGCTATGTGATCTTGGGCAAGTTATCTAACTTCTTTTGAGCTCCTTTTTATGTAAAAAGGGAAGATTGATAACAATAAATGAAACTAGAATATATATATAATCTCACATACGTATCCAAATGGTTGTCATAAATAGTGATGGATGCTATAGGTGTATGTAGGGCACCCACAGCCTCAGGTGGCACGGGAAGCTTCCTGGAGGAGCCTTCTAAATCAAGACACCCCCCAAGAAAAGAGTGTGATTTAGCCAAGGTAAAGAAGAGACTCCAGAAGGCTGGCCAGAGAGACCAGATGCTGTGTAGGGTATATTTGAGGAGAGGTTGTGTCAGGGATAACCACCCTCTCCTTCTAGAGCTGCTTAGTCTCTTGTCTCATATCAATGTTGTGCCTTTGCTCCATCCCCCCCCCCCCCGCCCCTAAGAACCAATTTCATCATGATTACTACTCCCCAAAACTTCAACTTAAATAAGGCTTTAGCTTGATTTGGGGTAATAAATGGGGAAAATGGATCTTGAAATTCCACTGCCCACCACTGCTTTAGAGTTTCCATCTCCATTTTTTAGTTCAGATTCACATGAGAAACTTTGGTCCGATGAGTCCAGATTATGGATTGGTTTCTACTTGTATCAGGTTCTCCACACCCAACCAGCTAAAGCTGGGACCAGATAGAACATATCTCTTCTAAGGTCCAGCCGTTTCAGCAGAGCGGGATAGAGGACATTTAAATAAAACACAGAGTATGTGTGATAGTCAATGACAGGTTATCCAGTGTCTTGCCACTAGAAGTGTGGTTCCCAGACGACCAAATTGAATTGCCTGGTAACTTGTTAGAAATGCAGAGCTTCAGTACTACCCCAGTTCTACTGAATCATGATCTGTATTTTAATAAGGCTCCCAGGGGATTTGTATGCACTTTGAAGTTTGAAAAGCACTTCTTTCATATATCTCTAGTTTTATATATTGGGCCACAGACCATATAGAAGACCCTCCCCAATACCATAGCTCCTGGTATTATTTTTTTAATTGTGCTTTCGCCACTCATTTCAATGCAACGTTCTGAACTTGGTCATCATTCAGAACTGCACCATGTTGGGAATATGTCCAGAGAGACCATTTGGTATGCCTTGTCCCCCAATCCTTCCTCTCACTCTTATCGATCCTTCAGCAACTTCATTGTCTCTGACCCTTTGTTGTCTTGACTTTCTCCCTGTGGATCTACTCCCTTGTTTTCACTTTCTCCCAACTTAGATCCTGTGTTCTAGCACTGCAAGTGCTTTTTTGATAATATCCTCTTCCCTTGTTTCATTTATTTTATCACACTTGTGGAGAAAGTCCCCTGAGAGATTAATCTGTCTGCCTTCTCAACACTTGTGAACAGGTGTCTAGCGCAGCTGGAGGGGAAAAAATCATTCACACTCCTGAATAGAGTGATTTTAAATTCAGGGCAGCCAACCTCAGCTGTGCCTTAAAACCAGCTGGAAATCCTGTGTTGCCTGGGCAATACTCCCTTGCTCTCACCAGGTGATTCAGTCACCAACTTCACGGGGAAGAAATGGAAGCCATCAAATGGGAATTCCCTCACCTCCCAACAAACCTATACATTCACCTCCATCCACCCTCATTCATTTCTCCTTCCCTCCAATTAGAATGGGAGAGATGCCTGTCCACCTCTCATGTTTTACATCCCATTGCATCTCACAATTACAGGGGACACACTATTATGATTATATTTTTCCTATAAAAAGCATTTAAGCATGCTCAGTTTCAACTGTGTTGCTTTTTTTTTAAGTTAAAAACTTGCATTAAGCTCATGTCTCCCTCTTGCTACCACATTCTCTTTCTCCATACCCTCTGTGGAACTCTTGGTTGTCTATATAGCCATCTTTCTCTTCCCCTGCTTCCTTGAAAGCAGAATCTACCTCCCAATATAAAGGAGGGAGAATTCCAGATGTTCACTTGCTGAAACATCCTTCTAGCTGAGGGTGGGGGTGTGAGTTTTAAAGCCAGGGAGTCATTAGGGCATGTGTCTGTTGGAGCTTTCAGAGAGGTTTGCTTCCTGATGACAAGAAGAGAGGCACATGAGGAGAGCTATCCCTCTGGAGGCTGTCATGTGAGGACAGGATATTTGGAGTTGCTTTTATCATCTTAGGACCACGAAGAGCAGCCAAAAGTATCCCCAGAGCGCTCACACTTTGAATGGGAGGGTCTCTATTGTGTAAGTCACCGTTATTTGGGTATTCCCGTGCTTACAGCTGAAAAGACTTTAATACGTTTTTAAAGCCAAATGTATATAACAAGAGAGGGTATACATAGGTTATATGCAGATACTGTGCCATTTTATATAAGGGACTTGAACATCCTCAGATTTGGGTGTCCACAGGGGTCCTGGAACTGATACCCTGCAGATACCGAGGGAGACTTACTATATATCTAACTGCAAACCAAAATGTATATAAAAAGGTCCATATAGATTGTATCTTACCTCCCATACCCGCTTCAGTCACTGAAATCTGGGTTACCCACACCGCACTGCTCCCCCATGTTCTCCCGTGAGGGGCCCAGTGAAGGACTGGCTGCTGAATCCACTGGACACTTTTTCAAACTTTCTCCTACTGGCCTCTCGGCAGCACTTAGTATTTTAAGATCCTGGGGAAAGTCATCGCTATAGCTCTGCTGCTCTCCCATCTCTTCAACATTCTCTCCCATGGCTCTGTTCTCAGCCCTTTTTTCCTTCTCACAACATGCTTTGCCAGGGCCAGCCCGCCTACCTCCATGGCTTCCATTTATATCTCTATGCCAACGATTTTCAACTTTTTTCATCTCACGGCACACATAAACTAATTACTAATATTCTGTGACACACCAAAAAATGTTATTTCTTTTGCCAATCTGACCCCCAAAAATGGTACAATTTTGATTCGTTCACACCAAACGGCTATTGTTGTGTTAGCTGTCGTCATTTTTTAATTTGACAGTCTAAGCTGGGACCAGATAGAACATATCTGGTTTGACAGTGCTCCTAAGTAGTCAGGTATGGCATGTTTTAAAAATCCTTGCAGTTAAATGATTCTCGGTCATTTTGGGTACGATTTAACTGTGTTGCTCCTCTTTAGTTGTCTCTGTAGTAAAGCCGTCAGAGAGTAGTTCTCTCAACTCTCACTGGACATTAAAATAGTCGGGGAGGTTTTTAAATACCATGATGCCTGGGGCCACACCCCAGACCAATAAAATCAGATTC